TATTGCATTATACTGAAATATATACAAATGTATAAAACATTCAGCAGCTACATATCTAGATTATTTTTTCAGACAATGCCAACTTTTATATCTACATCTAATTCGATATGTGGGTGCTAGTTGGATATTTTTTGGAATATAATTACGTAATGTCTGAAATCTGGCATAGCAATTCAAACAGGACTTAAGGAAAACTTTAGGTAGACGTTAATGTGCAAGACATTCATGTGGAAAGGCCTGCAGAGGTAGCCTCAGTAGTGGTCCATGGTGTTGTTCTCATTTGTGGTAAGGCAGGGTGGGGAAGGTGTCTGCAGTGTTGGGGAAGGGGCAGTGGAAGAGAGTCGTTCCCAACCTGATGGCCTGTGGGTAAAAATTGGTTTTCAGCATTGTTGTTCTTGCTTTTGCACTCCTATAGCATCTTCCTGATGGTAGGAGTGTGAGCAGGCTGTCTTGGGGGGTGGCTATTGTCGTTAATGATGTTGTGGGCCCTCCTAGAGGCTCTCCAGTGTTGGTAAGGCTGTTCCAGAGATGGTTTGGGCAGCTGTCACCACCTGCTGCAGAGCCTTACGGTCCTGAGCTGTGCAGCCTCCAAACCAGACTGTGATGAAGCTGGTGAGGATGCTCTCGATTGTACATCTGTAGAAGCTGCTGAGGATTCTGCTTGGCATGCCGAATTTCCTCAGCCTTCTCATGAAGTACAGACGCTGTCGAGATTTCTTCACCAATTGTGTAGTGTTGTGAGACCAGGTAAGATCTTCAGTGATGTGAACACCAAGGAATTTGAAAGTGCTCACTCTTTCCACCTCTGTCTCGCCAATGTGCAGTGCTGAGTGCTGCTCCCTCCTCCTCCATGGATCAACAATCATCTCCTTTGTTTTATTAATATTTAGGGAGAGATTGTTGCCATAATACGACTTCACTAAGTCATTCTGCCATTTAGCATAGGGTAACAGTAACTGATGTTTCAAACAAAAAAGAATTTACAAAATATTTATTGGATCACAAATTTTACTAGAGGTCAAAATATGTGCCTGATTGTAACTTAATGGTTTGTTAAATCTGTTGTTAACTGCTGTTAACTGTATTGACATAAGATAGCTTGATGACACAGACAGTGCAGTAAAGGCCATAGAGCAGAAGTTAAGGGAAGTTTTAAGTATACTTTGAACTGTTTAGTATTTTATGAGTGTTTTATATATAATTTCAACCAGAGACTGTTCAGTTGTGTTTAGGTTGAGCTATGACTTGTTTGTGTCTGAAATTACAGGTGCACCAAATTACTTTACCAGGCTCTGCTGATTATTGTAAGTACTAACCTACTGACAACTGACTTACTGACATTTTTTTGAGCCAAAATAGTCAGGTCTGTTTAATTTACCAGGAAGTTTTCTTGTCAGGTGTGTGGACATCAGTCTGGCACCATAGTGGCCTATGTGAGACATATGACAGTTCACAGCAATGTAGCTAATTTGGCATAGTCGTCATTGTGATTAAAGGATACGAGGGTCACACACAGTTCTCTTTAATTAACACTGTTTTCTATGAATTCTATGAATGTTGTTTTCA